TCCGAGCTACTTTCGCCGAAGATTTCAGCTTTTCTGGGAGGCATACAGTAATGAATCGAAAACCTAACAAAAAGTGAAAAGTTATTTGACGTTACCGGAGAATCGGTCTTCTCTACAAGGAAAAATTTCTCACTTGCTCTTAAAATTAATTTTGAATTTGACGAAAAGAAAAACGGTGAAAAATGAAAAAAGCTGTTCCGAGCTACTTTCACCGAAGATTTCAGCTTTTCTGGGAGGCATACAGTAATGAATCGAAAACTTAACAAAAAGTGAAAAGTTATTTGACGTTACCGGAGAATCAGTCTTTCTTGATGGATTTTCCTCGTACAAAGGGATCTTTTCGACTTGAGCTAATTTCAGTCTCCCTCAAGCTCTGTGTTGAGTCGCGTTGATTTTGTCGTATTTCAACTTTCGTGAGGCGAATCCGATCGGATCGTTATTTTCAACCAGAGCTTAAATTCATTAAACCAAATGAAGTCTGTTCTCGTCATGCCGAAAGCTTCGACTCGGCGTTTTCCCGGAAAAAATATGCGGGAAAACGAGCTTAGCCTGACTTCCAGGTTCCGTGAGTCAATCCCTTCAAGCAGAATGCGGTCAAATCAATTCAAATAGCTCTGCGTGTGTTGCTGAGTGGTCGATCTCCATCGCCCAATGAAGCATCAGGAATTACCTCCGGGATTTTTAAGGACGCACGTTCATCTGTCGCACTGTCGCGTTGCAAAATTTAGAGAGAAAATCCCCTATCCAACCTCTAATTCTAACGAAAACATTTGCAATGTGTGAATGGTTTAAGCTTGGGATGAAAAACTTCAAATCTAGAATCGCTGTTTCTAGGCGTTTCTTGGCCTCCTGAATGCTTCCCCAAAAGTTTTCATAAATTTCGCGAAATTTCACGCGAATAAATTTCATGAAATTGTCCATCGGTGTCGTTTGCAACGTTAAATCCGGAGATTGTCGTTTCGCACTTTACTGCCGTGCTAAGGGAGAACGCCGTATGAGCATTCTAGAGTTGCCAAATTTCCTTCGATAAAATGCTCATTTTTGAGGTAAGTTATGGATATTTTTCCTTGAAATTTTCAGGAACTTTAGGTGAAATTGCGAACAAAATTATCTGAAAAATTGGAGGGAAAATATTAATGAGTTTATCAGGAAATTCGTATTTTACCAAAAGGACTTTGGCAACGCCTGAAGGTTCATACGGCGTTTTTCCTTAGCGCGGCAGTTCAGCCATCGACATGTTACTATGCTTCCTAGTTTCAGAACTCGCGTAGTGGCGTAGTGACCTCAAACCAAAAGTTTAAAAAAATTTTATGAACTTTCACGCGAATTAATTTCATGAAATGTTCCTTTCTGTCGTCTGCAACGCTAAAAACGGAGGTACGTGGTTTTCCACTTCAGCCATTGGAATGATCACCATGCTTCTTAGTAGTGATTACAAACAATTTCAGGACTCACGTAGCCGCGCACAGCCTCAAACCAAAAGTTTAAAAAAAATTCGTGAAATTTCACGCGAATCAATTTCATGATCGTAGTGGCGCTCAGCCTCGAATCAAAAGTTTAAAAAATTCGGGGAATTTCACGCGAATCAATTTCGTGTAATTTTCCATTTCTGTCGTCTGCAACGTTTTAACGTCCGTTTTTAAACGGAGGTACGTGGCTTTGAACTTTAGCCATCGACATGTGACTGTGCTTCCTAGTAGTGATTACAATAAAATTCCAGAGCTCGCGTAACGGCGCACAGGCTCCGCGGGGGAGATGCACGGCTTAGCGTGTTGCCACCGGGCGGGATCGGGCGGGCTCTCCAGAGTTGAGAGGTCATCAAAAAAGATGAAACATGGCGATAAGATGAGTAGAAGCTTCACTTACATATTAAAGTCTCGAGCACTTTTTTCGAGAGCCCACTTACCGCTCGAAATAAAGGTTAGGGATCGAGGAGCACGTGTTTATTTCGAGCGCCTCCGCTCCCGTAATTGATTTTCCTCTCGCTCCTACCGTGACCCCCTTCGCCGCGAGCGGTGGAGCAGAAAACTCCCAGCAGGTCTCCCCGAGGTAGGCTCGCTCCGCAGTAATCTCACTCGCACGCCAGCGCCGGCAACGGACAGGTTATCTCCAGTGTAATTATCGGGTATCATTCGGCAAAATGGAACCAAGAGCATGACCCAGTGAGAGCTACCGTCCTTGAAAGGGGCGATCGTGATTGACGTCAGGCACCTGTGGGCTGATTGTGGAAATCGGTAGACAAAGCGATAGACGAAAAAGATAAAAAGGATATGAAGGAATCCTATTGGTTGCAATGGACAAACTAAAGGAGGTCTTACAGAAACCCACGGGAGACCCCATAGTAGTCCATCATTTTATTCCTCAGTTATAAGAACCACTCATTTCAACCAATAGTGTTGCTACATACTCTTTATGTCTTCTTTGTCTATTACTTTGTCTATCAGTTTCAACAATCTGCCTGCGGTGTCAAAAGGCAGGTCGGTTGCAGGGGACACATACAGTTTGCACTCGCTGTATCAACAGTCGCATGCTTCTTCAACTGTCCAGTTTCGTCAATGTCGAATAATTTATCACGAACACTTTGATGTCTCTGATTTCATGACATTGATGGATAAATAAGGAAAAACACGAACAGGAAAAGAGATTCTCCGCTGCTATCTTGGCAATAGTGAGAGCTTTTACTTTCGGGACTTTCAACATTCAACCGTTGACCTACCTACCAGATAGATGCTTAGCACCGTGTTGAGTCTTTCGTTTTGCAAACAAAATAAAGTTTGGTAAACTTATTTGGTTCTTGAGTCATGACGTTACCCGAAGCTCATCATCCATCTGGTAGGTAAGATGACTGTCGCTCTCTTATAAGGAAGCGTTGAATCCCCGAAAGTAAAAGTTTCCACCTGTTGCCAAGAAGCCAGTAGAGGGTCTCTTGTCTCCGAACATAAGCAGTATGAAATTACCTCCTGATCACGCAACAATGTCTTCAACTCTGTGACGTTACTATTGACTTCGATTCTCACATCCAACATTTTCCGAAAGTATACCTCTCTGCAAGGCATTCGTCTTAAAAAGCCTGCGATGGAATCGGCTTAAGATGAAAGTAGAACTGCACTTTTTTCTGGGCCGCAGAAGGTTTTCTTTGAAAAAAGAATAACCGAGGCCGAGGAAGAGCGGGAAAGAAAAAACCAGGCCGAACAAAGTTTGCTGAAGTTTCTAGCACTCTTCTCAATTCGGGGAAAGTACTCTCTCCCCTGTTTGTTTAGAGGCGGCATATTAACATCTTTAATGCTCTCGGCTTACAACGTCCTAACATTTTCATTGTGCACGGAAGTTTAGGCTGTTCGCTGATAAGGTAAACTCGAATTCGTAAAGTTTTCAATAAATTACAAAGTAAAATGAAAAATTTCACCTTTGTCTGCATTCCGTATCAGCAGATTCTGAAATGGAAACCGTGATGGTGTCAGAGGCGTGGGCAATATAAAAAGAAATTAAGAGAGTCACATCTCGGATGGAAAGAATGGCAAAGAATGAGACAAAGAGTCGCGTATTGAAGAGAGTAGAAAGGTTATTTCATTCGTTATGAGGGCGTTTCTCCTGTTGCACTGACTCCTTTTACACGTAATAACAAGGATGATAGAGAATGAAAAGCAGCGGAGAGATTTTTTCAATAGCAATGGAGTAGCTATGCAGGCATTTTGAATGGGAGGGAAGATTGTGACAAAAAAACAATTTTTTCTTCTTTTTTGAGGAGGAGTATAATTAGTTACAAATTCCTATAAAGCTCTAAAGATAACCCAAGTCTGCATTACATTAAATGTGGAGTGAGTGCGTTCTCGTTCTCATTTTATTTTTGGTCGTGCAATACCTTATTAGAAGTTTTACACCCAACTTTTGAAGAATTGATTGGCTTTAATAAAAATCAGCCAAACTGCATTTCGCGTTGCAAAATTTCTTCTCTTACCTTGAATTCGACGTATTTCTGTCAAACAGAACGATGTGTAGGTGGGGAAGATGGGTTATGCTCGTTAGTGCTCTGGCCGTAAGAATGAATGGGAAATATGAAGCGCCAGAGACTTAGCCACCGCACAATGGATCTAGTCAACAAGAGAGGTCGGACAAAATTTGGAAACTTTAAAAGCCTATAACTCCGTTCAAACAAAATTTTGAAGGTCTAAAAGTATCTCCATTGGTTTCCTCGTAAAATTTTTCTACTCCAAGCACCCCTTAAAATTTAAAATGTGACGAAATAAGCATCAAAATTTGCAGTTTTAGTCAAAAATTTCATGTCCGACCTTATTAATTGACTTGATCCACTGTGCGCCGCTGCCTACGTATGGTACCTCTACCTCTCTAGTTTTTCGTCGACCCGCTTAATACAGAGACGATGATAAGGATAGTTAATAAAACCGACCAATAACATAAATCTATTCTGTCTTAATCTGCTTTATCTTGTCTTATCCGCCATATCCAATGTTCGAAACTCACAGGCGCCAACGCGCCAAATGCGCCTAAAAAATCGGCCATGGCGCCTAAAAAATGAAGGCTCCGCGCCAACGTTGGCTCTAAAAATTGCCCCCTAAAAATCTGGATATTCACAGCAAGTCACAAAAAGAAAGAAAAACAAATCTATTTGAATTGAAGAAACTCAGAATTTTCAGGACTACAGGTGAAAGCTTGCTTTTTCTATTCTTCACGATATCATTCTTGGTGCTTTTGTCGTCCCCAAGTTACAGCTACTTACTAGTTCTGTTACGAAAACATCTTGCGTCTAACTTTTTACTAAATGCGCCGTAATCTACAGGCAAAAAGTCAATTTGGCCCCTAAAAAATCTTTAATGGCGCCTAAAAATCGGGCTTGATGCGCCACATGGCTCCTAAAACTCAAAGGTGAGTTTCGAACACTGGCCATATCATACCTCGGCAAACGACAAATTTTAACAATCAAATTGTTCATAATCTTGTAATATTTTTAACTCTTTTGTTATCTTTTTGTTGTAGGTGTCGCAGCGAGGAGCCGGAGAATGCGCGTGTCGAAGTGAGCGGCGGCCCGCGATGCCCGCCTCGCTTGGCGAGTGAATGAGCTCGCGATGCCGGGCGACCACCGGGAGCGGACCGGGCGCGCCTCCGCCGTCCCCCCGCCAGATGGCGCTGTCGCCGACCTCGCGAGTTGACGCGCTCGGCCACGATGAAAGTGCTCATAGCGGGAGCCCTCACCATCCTCGTCTACCTCAAGCTCTACAGGTGCGAGCCGCTGAAGCTCTACTCGCACGACGGTAACACCATCCGCCACGGGAAGCTCAAGCACATCCTCTACAACGCCAACCCCAACAACGAGGAGTTCTACGGAACCAAGTCCACCATCCGCGTCGAGCGCTCCAGCCCTGACTGGGAGGAGAATCCGGTAGGGGCGCCACCCGTCACCACCGAGATCTCCGCTTTGTTCAACGCTAGCGACTCGGAGAACCTAACCTCGCAGATCCTGGAGCTGAAGAGCGACATCTACAACCTGTACCAGATGTCGAATAAGAGCGCGAAGAACGTGACGTTGGACGTGGAGGGGGAGGACTTCGACGAGGTGCGGCAGCGGCACCCCAAAGATGAGTCGGACGCGGGTGATCTGCCCGAGCTGGACGAGAACATCAGCAACCAGCCGGAGCGGGAGGACATCGTCTCGTATTTCCTGAAGAAGGTCGAGTCGCAGCACACCCTCGGCGGTAATTGCGAGGCCGGCACCGAGCTCAATTTGGGCGAGGGCGTCGTCGATCGATACGCACAGGTGAGTCGTTAGCCTAATTTAAAACAAAAGGATATTAGCTGCGCGGAAAAAAGGCTTATGTGGGGCGGGGAGGGCTGGTAACTTATGTTGAATTCGAAATTCGGGGGGAGTGTGGTGAATGACGTTGCCAAGCATAAACAAGAATGAGAGCAACGCCAACACCGCTGGAAATTAGCTGTTCATAAATTACATAACGCTCTAGGGGGAGGGTGGTCGAAGAGAGTGTAACACTTTCTTCTTTTTAGGTGTTAAGGGTAGGGATCTACGTCACCAAAAGCGTTACAAGAGAGAGGTGATATAAGATTCTGAAAAAGTGCGTTAAGTATTTTATGAACGCATTGGTAAAAATTGGCGATAAGAGCTGCGGTTCATAAATTATATAACGCTCTAGGGGGAGGGAAGTCGAGGAGAGTGTAACACTTTTTTCTTTTTAGGTGTTAAGGGTAGGGACCTACGTCACCAAAAGCGTTACAAGAGGGAGGGGGTATAAGATTCTGAAAAGGTGCGTTAAGTATTTTATGAACGCCCTGGTAAAAATTGGCGATAAGAGCTGCGTTTCAAAATACCACAGGAATTCTTATAGCCGGCTAAAGATGGCTACAGAAAATCATACAGCTGGCTGTAGAATGCGGAGAAAATCATACGGCCGGGCTATACGAAGCGATAAAAAATTATGCAGCCGGGCTATAGTTCCTATAGCCGGGCTTTACACTTTATCGCCTGGCTGTTGCTTTTTCGCCATCGATTATAAAAGGCTATAAGAAATTGTGTAGAAATTCGTGTGCTTTGGAAATCATTAACTTTGATACGGAACCACCTTAATATTTACAAAACACACGTTATATTTTCCTTTATTACATATTTTTTTTCATCAATTAAAACGAGAGTAATCCATACAGGTCCTTAAGACAAAAAATATGTCAGTCAGAGGTGCTCAGCAAAGCAAAGTCCTGGAGGATGGTCAACGTATAGAAAGTTGCGATCCATACAGGATGTGCAAACATTTCAAAATCATGAGTTGATTAACGCTGACTCCGCCAGATTAAATATTAGAGCCTAACACAAAGCGGAGCGGCGACGCACTGGCGCCTACAAACCTAACAGGGATACTTCACGCATTGCGCAACGCGTGAAGTATCCCTGTTAGGTTTGTAGGCGCCAATGCGCGTTTCGCGCTGGCTTTAGCATACACTTTATCGCCTGGCTGTGAGTTGCTTAATCGCCATCGGCTATAAAAGGCCATAAGAAATATGTGTAGCCGGCTATAGAAGCTATTGGAAATCTTACAGCCGGCCGTAGGTCTATGGTATTTTGGAACACAGATTCTACTGCCAACTTTTACCAGGGCGCTTCTAAACTTAATTTAAAGGTAGCTCAGGGGCACTATTTCAGCCAAATCTTAGTCTGAAGGGGGAGAGGGTGTAATTTTTTTTGGGGGAGGAAGAACGACGTAACTTTAAAAAATCCCCGAAAATCGTTGTTTCCCAGACGAAAAAACGTAATATCACTCTAAATTTACACAACCGACCAAGCCATTTCAATTATTTCCCATTATATACATATGCTCCTAATATTTGTTCAAAATTTTGCAGCTTTTTCTATGTAGTTACAAGAAAAATCAGTGAAATTTGCAATCTAAACTGCCCAACAGACTCTTTATAATAATATAATTTGTCCCTAGACGTTTCGTAACATTGAAGTTTCAGTTACGTTCTTTCATTTGGGAAATGAGTGAATGTTGCTAGTTTCTAGAAAATTAACCGAAAAACTTATGCTTTCATACACATTGAAAAAAAAGTTTGGTAACATTTACTATTAATCTACTTGAGTTTTTACACAGTGATAATTTTTAGTGAAAATAACCAGAATTTTAGTAGTATTCACCAGAACTCTAGTGATGCATAGCATATTATGATAAATGCTGCCATAGAGTCTATACTTGTATTACTAAACTTGTATCACTGTGTCAGAACATGGTAATATCTACCATATTTTTTTCAGTGCATTTGATTTTTTTTTACGTGCGCACAGGAATATCATAATGCTTGAAGGAGGCTCAAACGCGCGTGACAATCGTGCGTCGAGGGGGAATGGGGTTTTAAATTCCGTTTTTGAGCGTGACCTAATAACCGAACGGCCCCTCACGAGAATCATGCATCGCTTCTTTTCCGATATGAATTTACGGTAAGTCTTCTCTTCTCGATTCAAACTTCGCTCCGAGTCGTTCTGATTGACACATATCACAACAGCCCCCGATCGGAAAATCCTTCTTCCCTCGCCCGCCGCCCCGCGAGCCTAATTTAGAAAAAAGGAGGCCTGTCTCCCCGGATTGCAAGGAACCGTGGATTCAAATGTAACCAAATCTTTTGACAGCAATTCATGACGATCGCAACCGAGGCGGAAAACAAAAACAAGCGAGCAATTGGATCCGAAGTGGGGGAGGGGGGGGGGGCGGGACACGACGTTTCCCCCACTGGTTGATCCCGGCTAGAGGGGTAGATCGTCGTTTCCTGAACGAAGTAACGTAACTCCATTCCAAGGTTGCCAATTTGACCCAAACAAAAAATTGATTTTACAAAAATGTAATTGTGCAATTTTCATCTAAAATTTTTCTGATTTCTCATTTTTTTTTTTTTTTTTTTTTTTTTTTTTTTTTTTTTTTTTTTTTTTTTTTTTTTTTTTTTTTTTTTTTTTTTTTTNTTTTTTTTTTTTTTTTTTTTTTTTTTTTTTTTTTTTTTTTTTTTTTTTTTTTTTTTTTTTTATTCATAGAAAATATATGTAACATTCAGTATAAAAATATTCAAAAGAAAAGTTGCACTTGAGAACTCAAGTATGTGAATAGCTAAATAATGAGAGATTAATTATATCTTAATCCTAAAATCAATAGACAGTATAAAATCATAAACATTTCGGTCCATATGAAGTCTCGAGTCTAATAAATTGATGGGTTAATAAGTCAATACGAATAATTATTCATAATATTAACCTAACTATTTTCTATGAAACCGGTACCGGCCGTAGCCACTTCATCGGTTTGGGTTGCAATCTGCCATTTGATATTTCATTCCTCTTTTCTAATACTAGTCTTACGTATCTATAAATCGTGTTCCAATTTGCCTTTGTTCCTAACATGACCTTCATGACCGTATTTTTCTTTTTTTCGCAATTCACGGGATTTCTCATATTGTCTGAGGAAAAATCAGTGAAATTTTCAGTTAGTAATGGCCAAGATTCTCGTGTCTAATGTGGAGTTTGCGAAGGGAAATTTGGCAACATTGAAATACAGTTACGTTCTTTCGTGCGGGGACGACGATATGATCCCACGCGGAAGGTGGCTTTTTCGGTCCCTGCACTTTCCGCCCTCCCGATTGTTTTGTGCTAAGCAGCGTGCGCTTTCAGGGATCTTCCTTTGAAAGAATTTAATTTCACCCGCGGCGAAAGACACCGGAGCGAGCCGCGGGCGACGATATTTCTAGGCCGAGCATGACAGGAGGGTGTGAGGTCGAGAGGTAGGCTACGTGTCTTTTCCCCCGTATGATGCTGAATTGATTGTGCGGGGAGAACTGTGTGCGCGGCACAATCGCGGGCATTCAACCGCTCCTTCATTTTTTACGGGGCTAATGCGAATCCAGTTCCTGCAAGCTTCGCGCGATTTAACCGGCTATTTCTATGCAAACTTTCGCAAGGAACGCCACGGTGACACTGGTGTTGTCAACTCTCAGCTGCAGTGCCTTTAGGAGAGTATGGCTACTTGGACTCATGGAGGCTAGTAGCAGTGGCGTGGCGTGAAATGCGATATCTCGATTGTCATGCCATTTAAACCTGTGGAAAAGGATCGATAAACAGGGTGTTCGCTGCGAACACCTTAGTAATCGATTCTTTACCATAGGTTCAAATGGCAGAACTCTCGATACATCGAAATTCACGCCACGCCACTGGCTGGTAGTTGACTTAGTAAAAAATTATAATATATTTCGGCCAGTTCGAAGTTTTGTGAGATCACTCTAAATTTTTCAGCGTTTTCAGCAGCAAATTCAAGTTTTCAGCGACGTTTCGCCAAGTTTTCCAAGTTTGCAAGTATTGTTCAGTCGACGTATTTCACTGGAAAAAAACACATTGCATCTAGAATCTAGACTCTTAAAAACATCGACAAGAAAAAATACTCTTGATTCGATCGGATTTTTGCTTAAATCGAGAACCAAGCTTCTTAATTTGAGCGGATTTCCTTTTGATTTAAGCAAAAATCTGATTGAATCAAGAGTAATTATTCTTGTCAATGTTTTCAAGAGTCTGGACTCTAGATCCAATGTGTTTTTTTTCAGTGTTTCGCCTTCTTAGTAGTTTTTTCGCCTGCGTCTGGAGTCTGAACTCCCAATCTTTAAAACGATCTCGCGGAACAGAAAACTCAACGATAAATGTTACAAATTGACTAAATCTTGTAATTTGGAACTACAATGTCTGGCTCAGCCTAGAAACAATGTATGTACCATCAGTTTTTCCATGTAATTTTCCTTGCGTTTTTAAGGATGAGCCTGAAATTGTGGTTCCTAACTGCAAAATGAAAACTGCACATAAAAAACATCAACGGAGTCAGAAAGTTTAAAGGAGTTGATGATTAGGAGAGATAATCGTGAATACAGATCACAAGGCCTGTCAGATTAAGGGACCATTAAAAATTCTATTTTCGTGCAAAAAGGCAGTATCTTCGCTTAACTTGTCTGTACTTCGTCGACCAAGGAAGATTAGTGCGTAAAATTGGTTTAGGTTTTTCCGAGTGTGACTTCGTGCTTCTCAATGTGCATTCGGAGCACGTCTGCCCCATCGATTAAGAAAGAAAAAATTAAATAAATTAAAAAGCCGATCAGGTCGTAATTGTGGGCGTGTTGGCGGGATAGCGCCATACTTCACACTCAACGCAGATACAACCGGTTGCCAGATGTCGATTGTAAACATCGGAGCAACTCATCGATAGAACGATGAGAACCACAAAAATTCTCACA